ATTAACTAAAGAGAGGTGGCTGTGAGACAGAAGCCAGCACTTCATTAGACTGGGAACTTCAGGAAGAAGATACGTACCACTTTGAAAAAAATTCATTCTTGGTGTTACAAGACAGACTTCCATACAGAATGCTTAGATCATCCTCCAAGTTTTTCTTAAGGTATCTCACATCCTTTCTGAATAAAAAGCCATTTAACAAGACTCAACCTTAATTCTGAAGGTCTACTAAAGAATTTACATTTGTCTTTGCCTAGTCCAAGCCAAAACAAGCCAAACCAATGGTCCTTATCAACAATGTAAGACTGCATCTTAATTAAAAACTTGTATCCAGACACACTGGTGTGCAACCCTGCAGGTTAGTGCCCACATGGATCCTGACTATATTCAAACCTTTATTACAAATTTTCAGGATTTGTCCAAAAATCTGTATTGTATGAATTAAGAGCAATAATTAGCAATCCTTCTCCCCTCAAATTTTTGTTTCCTCCTAATTCAAGATGGTTGCATGGAAAGATTAAAAAAAAAAAAAAATCACTGAACAAGTCCATCACAATCAGTATAATTTATTTTCATTATAAGAAAAAGAGAAAACAAAGTTATCTGACAAGTCAGAAAGAAAAGAAGACTTGTGCTTCACAAGAGCTACCCAGTAGATTTAACCCCATGGGAAGGTTTAAAAAAAAAAAAAAAAAAAAAAAAGTTGTTGCAATTGCTAATTATTAAGCCACATCTCCAAGAAGAAATAGGCTACCCCAAACTTTTGAGTAGATCAGAATAATTTTGTAGCTCTGTTTATCTACATGGATGCAGAACTGGAGATCCTTTAGAAGAAAGCTTACCTTTGAAATAGGAGTAGCTTCACCTTCACATATTTCAAGATGCAGACCGCACGCTTACCCAGAACAGAGAGCAGAAACCACAAGGATTATCTGAGAAACAAACAGCTATTCTATCCCTACACCCGCATTTTAATTTCCTAATCTTAATCCATAGGCATTCAGGAACATTAGTTAAAATGCTTGATGTTTTCCTTTACAAAAGAATAAACAATGTAGGGCAGTTCTTTTCTTATATTCCAACTACAAAAAGAAGTAACTTTAGATGGCCACCAACATTATTTGCAATGCAAAACTACGTAACCCTATTTTCTTATTAAAAAAACCCGCATAACTTATCTCCTTCAATACCAATATTCACTTTTGTTTTAAAATTATAATACAACCAAGTTTTGCTCTCTTAAGGAAGAGATACCTTTACAAGGAAAAAAAGGACAGTATCAACAGTGCTAGTCTAAAAATATAGCAAGGGTTAACCTTCAGCGTGGAGAAGTGTTCACTCCACAAGTGCCAAATTTTTAATAACAAAAAACCACATTTATTACAACAGAATATTACAAACAACTAGTTTCAGTGACCAAAGAGTAAAATTTTACAAAAATGCAAACGTTGTAATTTACGACTGTGGAGTGATAGATCTTCTAGGCTTACAAACACAACATCTTTTTGTTTATGCACACTTAAATGTGATTTCCACTCTGCTTTATTTTCCATCACATACAGTACATTTATCCAAACAAAAGCATGTACATTCAATATAGAACATTTTGAGCAGGAGCTACAGTCCAGTTCCCATTCACAGTATTTTTAGTGCAATGCACTAACAGGGCCAAATATTTCTCTATCCATAAAAGTATTTTTACTCCTGATCTTGTGATCAACATTTTTAGATATATTTTATACAAAAAGTATATATGAACACGAGGCACCTCCCTAAGTAAGGGAGCGAACCTATATAAAAAACATGGTATTTCTTCTGGTGTACAATACCTTTCAAATTGTAGCAATTTGACACAAATCACTAAACAAAATATTTTCTAAAAAGTAAAAAAAAAAAAATCAAAACCAAAACCAAACAGAACAAAAAACCCCAAACCACTGACACATGAAACCTGCCAAGAATTTCATAATGGTAGGCATGCGACTGTTTTACTACAATCTTGATTAAAAGGTTAAAAAAAGGGATCTAAAACATTTTCCAAATTATACAAAGTCAAGTGCTACCTATAGTGGTCATTCATGATCTTGAGAGAAAAAATATTTTTAGTTTCTCCCATACTATCCTCCCTTTTTATTAATATTTAATGAAATAAGCTAACATTATAAGTGGTTGTGCACAGATTGTCTGTCTATAATACATCAGCAAATATTCACTACCTTCATATTAACATTAGTGTGTTGATCTTTCGAAAAATAAACTGAAAAAATAAACTGCAACTATCATTAAAGTGCTTGTGTATAATTTTTTTTCAAAAAAAATTAAAGAATAGAGGAATGTGGATATTCTTGTAAACTTCCTAGGTGTTTACAAAGTAGTCCTATGCAACACATATGGAAACAAAATGGAGATCTTTGAAGCAACTTCAGTACAGTGAAATTCAGAATGTCCCAGAACTGGGAAATTAGTCAATATGAACAAACTGATGTTATGGCAAATACTAAAAATTAGTATAATTCAGCCAATATACACTACATTGTTTGCTCTTATACATTCATTTGTAATAAATTTAAAACAGTATATGACACAACATTTGCCAAAGTAGGACATCACAAAAAAGTTAGAGCTGTTCATCAGTTAGCACTACTAGGGAGGACCAGTATGCATGATGAGCTCTCTGAAGATGATTTCCTAAATGAGGAACAAAAATCTTCCAAAGCTGCTATTCATTAACTTGCCTCTGTACTTCTTTTTAATTTCGGAAAGTTCATTCTATACTCTGTCAAACCTCAACTGCATAGAGATAACTGCTAATTTAGAAGCATATGTGCATTTCAACTACTTCAGAGTTTTGGGAGGAGGCATCATCCTACAAACAGTCAGAATGGTTCTTAATTTAGTAAAACAACAGCTTATGAAAATATTTTCTCCTTAGTACCATTATCAAGATACTAGTGATTCCAACAACAAACTAAAATCTTTTTCATTCAGATGAACTCCAAACTTTCCGAACATCACTTGAACCTATCTGAGGAGAAATGGGAATAAATTAATACTTTGAGCTTACCCATATAATTTTAAATTACACAACATAAATAATTTATAAGCCTAAATTTTTAATTCTTGATCAAAATGCAGAAGTCACTCCTCCTCTTAAACTCAGCATAATTCAGGGTCCAACTTGGCTAATTTTTGAATTTTCCATCCCACTTGGCCAGGATTTGTTATGAAGTCACAAAAGCACCAGATTACAATTTAACATAGCTGCGTGGCAATTCACTACAAAAGCTGAACTCAAATCAAATTACCACCTGGGAAACAGCATTTCAGAATTGAAATACAGAACAAGGCACATATACTTGGTTTTATTTTCACCAAATATGCTAGAAAGGTATTTTTGAATAGGGATGTTAAAAATTCTTACAGGTATCACTACTGTCTCTCTTCATTGTAATTTTTTGTACAATCCCCCAACTTTCAGGCATCAGTCGGTCATTCTGAAATACAAACTGACCGCGCACACACATTACTTCCCTTTTTAAAAGGTCTTTTTAAAAACAGGTCATCTATAACATGAAGGCTATGGAAAACTGAGAAACTAAGAATACAATCCCTCCAAGTGTAATAAAATTCCCCAGAGTATCATATAAGCAGAAGTTTAGAAAATTCTTGGCCGGACTTCCATACATATTTAGGCTCAAAAAAAAAACATTCTGGGAGAGACTTGACCACTTTAAAAAATAAACGACCAGAGTCTGCAAACCTGTGCTTATTTAAATAAGCATTAAAAGAATCAAATCCTAATTTTGATGATTTTAAAGGTGTTTGTGGGCACCTAAGTCATACTGATTTTAAATCAAAGCACTTAAGCATCCAAATTACATTCCGAAAAACTGTTCTATGTCCTTTTGTTGACAAGGCATAGGCAATACACAGTAAAATTTTTAAAAAAGCACACATGATATTTCCAATAAGTTCATAAAGATTTTTTCTGTCAACAGCTTTTACTGTAGTACCTTTAGTACTTCTTCAACTGGGTCACAGAGAAGTTCATCAACAGGTTAAGTTATTCAAACCAAACAAAAATATTGTTAATTTTAAAAAATTACTATTATAGAAATTTACATATATTAGCTTGATTACAATAGATGCTTTAAGACAATTTAAAGAGTTGACTCGGTACAGTTTAATCTATATTCTATTCCAACTTCCTACAATGACAAATTTAGAAATTAACTTTTTTCCAAAACACTAAAACCAAAATGTAATAAACAAATTTGACATCTACCTTAGTATTTAAGCCACTAAAACACAAAAACAATGGAAAAATATGTTTTCGGGAATAAATCAACAACAGCAAATGAAAGGCAGTGGTTTTGTTTTGTTTCTCAACTAGGAAAAAAAAAAAGACAACAAAAGACTTCTTTTTTTTCCTCACCAGACAACAGCTTTAGATCTTGTACTTCTGCCTTTGGTTTTATTTTCTTCAGGTGAATGAGATACATTTGCTTTGTGGGTTTTCTTATGATGTTCTAGGAAAGCTTTTCTGGCAAATGCTTTCCCACATTTATTGCATCTGTGCAGAGAAAAGTTTTTTGTTACTTTTACTTCAATGCCAACATCAGCTCCTACATCCTTTTTATTGGGAGAATTAGAGGTGACATCCTGTTTTGAAACAATCTGTTTTGTTTCATCCCTCTGAGGGCCCCTTTTTGTCACCTTATTTAGAACAAGATCAATTGGCTTTTTTATTGCTCTAATTTCTAAACTTGCAGTTATTTTCCCAAGGTAGCGCGGTGACTTTTTATGAACTACAGTTATATGCCTTATCACATCACGTTTGCGACGTGTCTCGTAAGAGCAGAGTGGACACCTGTAGTATTTAACATAAATGTTATTTCCATCTGTGTGTAATTCAATGTGTTTTGTCAAGTTCTGTTTAGAAGTAAATTGGCGTTTACAGAGTTTACAGTAAAGCTGCTTGAAGTCAAAGCCAGCTGAAAGTTTTGGCTTCCTGGTTTTTTGCTGGCCACCTGCAGCAGATGCATTGGTTGATTTAGAGGTTGATTTAGTGGTTGATTTAAGGTTTTCAGGGTCCTGTTTAACTTTATTTTTCTGTGCTGACGGTGTACTCTTTTTCTCATTTGAATGATTTGTTCCCTTTAATTCATTCTGCGGAGAAAGGGCAATGGAAGGGGGTGAAGGTTCTACAGAATCTGCTGGTTCAACTTTTACTTTTATTTCTGTGCCATTGGCAGTATTGTTGGGTCCTTTCTCTCTTTTAGAGTTCTTTCCAGAAAGAGTTATCTTGTGAACAATTTGCATGTGCCTTTTCAGCATTATTTGTGAACTATATTTTCTCTTGCACAGAAGGCATTTGCATGCAGTTAAATTGTATTCAGCCTTTGAAGACGACTTTTGTTTCCGGGTCTTAAAAGATTTTTTAGCAGAAACTGTATCCAAGAACAAAGGTTGCCCAGGCTTTGTAGCTATATCAGGAGTAATGGAATCCCTTCTTAATCCTCTATGAACTTCATCAAAATGCCTCCTTACGTTGGCTTTTGTAGCAAATGATTTATAACATACGGGACAACTTCTACCTAATGCTACAAGAACATTCTTATTTCGTCCTTTTGCAGAGCATTGATTTGGTTTCTTTTTTGTTTCTATGTACTTCTTTAGCTCTTCCATCTTTTTTTTGTGCACTTTTCGAATGTGCCGGCGTACACTGCGTCTGGAATGAAATTCTTTCCTACAAAGGCAACATATCAACTGGTGGCCAAAATCAGAATTATCCAGAGAGTCCACCTCAACACTTTCTGCTGGAGGCTGTTCTTCAGGAGTAGGTATCACTTTGTTTGTAACAGGATCAGCAGGAGGTAATTCTACAGTGTCCCCAGCTGGGACTGGGGCTGGAGCTGAAACAGTCTTGGGTTGCTCAGTGCTGGGTTCCTGTATCTGTACTGGAGCTTGATCAGGGGTACTACTACTTTCTGTGTTCTCATCTGGGCTATCAGTCCTTGATACATATTGAAATACAGCATTCTGATTAGTTTCTATAGGTTCCAATTTAATTACATATTCTTGCTTATCTACCCTTGGATAGATTGCTTCCAGAAGGTCATTTATGGCTTGACTCTGTTTATCGTTTATATCTGGAAGGTCTGTGAAAAGAGGCAAAGGTATTTTTCATTGATTTGGCAATTTCAAATTATTTACATTGCAAAGTATCTTTTAACCACTGTGTCAATTCAGTCACAAAATTTGCACAAATCCTGTATTTGTACTATTTTTCTGACCATTTACATTTAGAGCCTTTAGGTACTCATTTTTATCACATCAGTACAAGTGACTTTTTATTAAAGGCCAATGCTGGAAGTACATCCTTCCGGTGTGTTAATGTGAAAGCCACCTAAACCAAAAATTAGTTTGCCTGGAATTAAACTGTTCTTTAGAAATCTGCGTCAATTGCAAAAATAATGGCACACGACTGAGCTTGTTCTGCATGTGTGTAAGTAAGCCTGAACCATCATTAGAAACCGATTTGCCTACTGCTGGAAACGGGCACTCTCAACAAAGGAACCTAATTCTGAAAATAAGCTCTTCTCTGTGAATTCTGAACAGTCTTTAAAAAAGAACGAAACGACTGTGTAACCAGAGCACTGCATGAAGGTGTAAGTAGATAAGAAAGGACTTAACTTCTGGGGCAGGGAAAGCTTTTAGTAATACCAAAGCAGTTAATAAGCTCAGTGATACAGTAAGTGTTAAGGACAGAAAAAGCCTGTATTATTCAGAGGGAAAAAATGGTACTAATTTCTCAAAACAATAAAAACTGAGCCAAAGAAGTTATTTTAAGAAAGAATAACTTCAGTGAGGTTCGCCAAAGGTTCATCCTGTGTTCTGTCCTGATAACGCACCAGAGCAGACTTAAAAAGCAAGAGAGGAGGATACAGGGATTCTCCTTGTTTGTCTGATGCTAGTAAACTTCTCAAGCTGAAGTTTGCCTTTAAAGTACTCTTTTCATACACCTAGTTTCCAAAATGTTTATTCAAATGCTTTTGAAGCATTCACATTCTTGGCTATTGCGATGTTAGTTTGTTTGTTTTACCAGAAATACTGATAATTTTACTGTCCGATAATTTTGCTGGATAGCCCACAGTTTTTGTATTATGAAAAAAAAGAAAAACAAATTACTTCTGACATTTACCTTCATGTCATTCATGATTTTAAAGGCCCCAGTAATATCTTGGTTTTAAATGTCAAATTAGTTCAGTGATCTAGTTCCCAGCACACCACGCTAAGCACCTGCACTGGCACGACTGAGCAGCCAGGGTGCTACAGCAAAAAGGTGAGGCACTGAGATGATACGGTTCAAAATTATCCACAATGATTTGAAGATGTGATTCCTGGTAACAGCTAATTAAAACCCCACACTTAGGTTTGTTCCTTCCACACTGCCAGCAATACATGAAGAGAGTGTCAGGTACAAGAAATATGCTGTTTTGTTGCTCAGAACCATCTTTTAACACTGAATTTTTAACACCTTCTGCCATCAGTTTGAAATGGGACTATCTATATAATTTTTATCAAGGGTAAAAAGTCCTTCCTATTTTATAGCACCTTTTCAGACCATTTAATGACTCTACTAGCAGAATACATCTAAAAAAAATTGTCAGGGAATAGTCTTTGGAATTTTTCACCATGAGAATGATGAACTCTTATTCCTACCTCTTGTTCAGTATCTTTTAACTTTATTTATTGGAAAAACTCCCACTTTATTCAATAACCGTAATGCTCAATTTTATATAACACAAGTATTTATTTTTATTCAGAACATGTAGTAGTGTTCTCTTATTTTGCACCCCTCCTAGTGAACTAGGAGCTAACTAAGCTAACCAGCCAATGAAACGAAGGTTAGAATGTCAGGAGCTGGACGGGAAGTCCATACTCGGGGTATTCTTATTTTGCTTAGAAACTTTTGCACCCAAGTCAGATGCACTTCTAACCTTGCTTTGAAAATACAACGCATCCCTTGTCACAGAAAAGCTCTGTGACTCTCTGCAAGGGGCCAGGCACACTCAGTTAAGGAAGGTGACAGTACTAGTCTTTTCACCTTCTCCTTCACAACACTAGCTGACACAGTGTGGGAAAACAATCACCTACGTAAAACTCCGTTGGTTCCTAATTTTTGAAATGTTGAGGCAAGAAGGCATTAATCCACAAAGAAAAATCCTCATGGCACCTACGTTCATCTAGTCAACAGATCAAGATAATTAGAAAGTTTTACAAAACATTTTGAATGCTGGCACATTTCCAAATTATTCAGCTTTACTCAGAGCAACAAAAAGTCATCACTGGAATGAGACTTTATTAATTTCTTTTTCCGTAAGAATATACTTCTTTATTTTTTCCATGTCATTTAAGCTACTTTCTTTTAACAATGAAGCTTAATTTCTACAACAAAGGTGGTGGGCTAGGCATGATCACATAGAGTATCTTAAAGAGGCATGAGGTGAGGCTGTGGGAAAGAGACAGTATTACTGAAGCACAGATCCTTAAAGAAACGGGTGAACTTTCAGTCTGTGTTTCATAATGAGTAAGACCGAAGGACTGCATTTATGACACCGAGCACTTCCCATGTACAGGAGAAAATTATGGATATTGATCCAAGTCACTTTACAGGATCCAGCTGAAGTCCATCAGAGCTATGCTGATCTAAAACTGAAAAGCCTTGTTAGATTCATATGAGATTAATTTCCCAGTCCTTTGGCATACTTTCAGTAGCTCTCACAGCAAATAGGGAAAAACAGGAAAGAAAAAGGGGAAAAGGGAATAAAAAGTGCTAACAGTGACACTCTTCATTAACAGGTTGGACATATAAACTAGCTATCAAATTATAACATTGACATGGGTCTTGGTTGCTAATGCTTATTAAGTCAGCGCTCTGGCTTCTTTACTACCATAAAAGTGATCTACGTATGTCACTACTGAAATTCAATTCCACTTCTTTTTTCGCATTTTGTCTCTGATGCGTTTGTATAAATGGTACAGAAAGATAAGTTTCTCAACTTCAGATATCTTTATTAAATATTTCAATTAGTAAGACTTACTGTCATCCATCTGGAGACTTGGAGGACAATAAAACTTTTTATGAGTAATTAAATTTGGTAATCCTCTGAAGAGACTCCGGCACAATTTACACTCAAAAATAGTGTCCACATCTTTTAACAAGATATGTTTAAGTTGTTTAGTTCCTGCAATAAAAGAAATGTTACACTTCAGGAAGGTTTTCTGTTTATCTTGTAATTCACATCATCCAATGAAAGTGGAAACATTTTAAAACATGATAATTATAATAGCATTTTATCTTGTGTTAATGCTACTTCATTGCACTGTAAGTTTATGACACATGCTCCAAGTTTCACTATGAAGACAAGCCTAGTTTGAAAAAAAAGAAAACGTCGAGGATTATGCACGTTACAGTTTACAGGGAAAGCATTTACGATATTTACAATAAAAACTAACAGCTAGCAGTAGCACAGAGTCCATGTTACAGTATCTGGTTGCTGCAATACAATTGCCCAACAGGAAAGAATAAGCACTTAGAACAATTAAAGAAGCCTACAGCATTTTTTCTTTAAGCTTATCCAACAGTGGTAAGAAAGCAAGATATATGCACCTATTTTATGTAAAAATAGCACCTGGTAAGGCAAAAAAACTATAGAGCATACAATAAAACAGAGTGTTTTAAAATAGACTAAAAACTAACAGGTAAAGAAATGTTACTGCATCTGGGTACTAGGTAGTACTAGGTAGTACTAGGTAGTACTAGGTAGTACTAGGTAGTACTAGGTAGTACTAGGTAGTACTAGGTAGTACTAGGTAGTACTAGGTAGTACTAGGTAGTACTAGGTAGTACTAGGTAGTACTAGGTAGTACTAGGTAGTACTAGGTAGTACTAGGTAGTACTGCATCTGACTCAAGATCAAGATGATGATGCTTAGGCAAGAAAGTAGAACTGTAGACATATTTTCAGCCTGCTGAAAGGAAAATACATATAATTTCAGTCAGAAACTTTTCTATTGAAACATAGGCAGTGTGACAAAATGTGCAGGTTTTCCAGACTATTGTACATTGTATATTCTATCTTGATTTTTTCTTATAATGGAATAAATCAAAATTAATCAAAATTAGTCCAACAAGCAAAAAATATAATGAAACTGGACTAAGAATAAATAATCAGACAACTGCCAAACATCATCAAGACATTCTTCAAGCTAAAATAGAAGTTCAAATTTTCTGTCATCACAGACGCTTCTCTTAAAAATTCCTTTTAAGGATCAAACTCAGAGTCACACTGCAGAACTATTTCCTAAATAAAACTCTTTCAAATATTAATAATTTCATAACAACTAACAGTTCTTCAATACGAATGGGCCTTACCAAGACAACATTTTATTTCTTGGTGTAATAGTAGTACTACAAACTTTTTTACAACTGAGTTTCAGCAAAGCACTGTGTCTTCTCCTTCTTCCACAATTGCTTGAAAATGGGACCCAAACTCAACTATCTGAGGCTACCATCCAGTTTCTGTCCCCTCCTATGCCTTTCCTGAGCCACAGCCCTAGCCTCTTGTCTTTTTCTCTTGCTGCTTCCTCAAGTGTTACTAACCTCACCTTCATCTGACATGCCTTTTTACAAACAGACGACTGGACATATATTTAGATTTAGTGAAAACTCCAAATTTAAAAACTGTACAGAGTTTCCCCCCAAAAAAGGAAGTTTTTTACTCAGATCTCACCAACCAACGTTTGAGTTTCTGCATATGAAGAAAATCACTGATGAAAACCCAGCTGCACTAAACTGTAGATGTTCCACGTAGATAAAATTCCAGTAAGTTACCAACTATAATTCAAGCAAAAGGCCTCCAATTTGGTGATAGCACACAATAAAACAAAATTTGGCCACACTGTTGATGCATGCCCTAGCCACAAACCCCTCTCCAAAACAACAAAAAACCCAACTAAACAAACAAACAAAAAAATCTAATTCTGCACTACTTCCCAGTCAAGGGAAACACAATTCTCTCTCCTGTTATACCGATAGTTCAGTGTTTTTCCATTCGGGACTGAAATGTTTTTGTCTAATCCAAATTATTGGGCTTAAGAATTACTGGGTGAGATTTAAGGATTTATGACATACTGGAGGTCAGACTAGATGACACGGTAGTCACTCTGGCTTCAAACCTTCCTTATGCAACTATGAAGCTTTTCATTGGTGGGAATAAAAAAAATTATTGGTCCTTTTGAATTAAACTGTAGAGCTTTAGGGACTTCTGGAAATAGCATATAAATTTAAAACACCCACTGGTTTTGTGGGCACAGAAGGCAGAGAAAAAAATAAGCATGTCCTTACTCTTCACCAACTGCATATTGTGGCAACAAGCAGACAGTCGTCTGCCAGCACACGTTGCCTCCAGCTTACTAAAGCCTTCTCTATTTTGTAGTTATATCTAATTGGGGCAGGTGATAATTTGCCAAATTCTGTTAATATTTGTAAATGTTGAAGCTAGAATAACATCATAGACACAAGATATTGGTGCAGAACATTGGTTATTACAACTACTTCTCTGGCAGAAATACCAAAGTTTATACCTTTAGCAACTTCATTTTTAGAAAAAAAAAAAATACCTAGATTTAAATTCATCTGTTATTCTTAACACTTTGGATGACAAACTTCTGCGAAAACCACTTAAGTTATGGACAATACTCTGGGTTTAATCTCTATTCCTTTACCACAAGGATCAGAACAGCCTCTTTCCAAAATCAAATGTTGCTTGTTCAAAACTTAACCAGTAAAATCTCGGTCTAAGTCCTTTTGCCTTGTGTCCAATTTCCCTGGTGCAGATGACTGTAGATGGCAAGGTAAGCTCTCAGTTTAACACCTGCCAGTGAGGACAACCTGGAAGCAGCCTAGAGACAGAGTACTTTCAACTAGTTCATGCTATTACCAGTAGAGATTCCTTTAATCTACTTCAAGTGAAAGATGCCTGACACCCATATCGGAGGCCTTAGGCAATCTCATCCAAACACACTTACAAAAGTTTACTTAATGACAACTCTCAGTTTTCCTTCTTGTAATAAGCTGTTTAAATGCAAGTGGAGAACATAAACTGAATATTGTGCCGTTCTACAAGACCCATCCTGTTACATAGCAGCAATTATTAATATATATGAAGTGTTTCATGTATAACAGTTCTACGTGGAAAAATCTAGGAACACATAGATAGTAGCATTAAAGACATTGCTTTAATTTTTGTAATAACGGCTCTGTTCTTGCACCAAGGGTTGTGAAAATAAAATGTTTGGTTTGCCGTATCAGAAGTATAGAAACACCTAGAAAACATTAAAAGGTTTGAATCATCTAGGGCATCACCCAAATGCTCAGCTGTTATTCTTAGGTTCACTGCTATGTATCGCAACTCCAGAAAACAATCAAAGAACAACTTAAAAGTCATGTGATAAAGCAATTCTAAAGAGTTCAAGGTGAACATTGAATTTCCTCATCATCTGAGGAGTTTTAGGATAAACTCATTAATAGCAGCAGGAGGGATGACATAAAGCAGAAAAACAAACTAATATTTTATGGTTTTGGAAGATTACTATACAGCAGCAGCTGTACCTTCATCACATTGTATGAAAACCCTTATTAAAAGAACCAGCACTTAATACCAAAAATCTACAAATAATTTTGCAAATATGTAGAAAGTCAGGTGCTGGAGTTTTTTTAATATACTAAATACACTTAACTCTTACAACAAGGTAATAAACTTCTTAAGAGTCAATCATGGTTTCATACCTGATCGAAAACACTCAATGATTTGTTGAATACCAGATTTTGATGTTTGCAGAGGCTGCTGTAATAATGGAGGATCACCAGGTTCCAACAGATGCACTGAAATATATAAAAGGATAATAAGCCATTAAAGAACACTCAGGTGATTTTTATTAAGTTACGGATTTTCTGTGCATCCAGTAAACTAGCTAAAAATAAAGGCCAAGACTACAGTAAAAGTTGTCTCGCTCAAAAGTATTCATCTACACTGAATTAAAAAACAGCCAATAATGAATTTTCCGCCCATGATACCTCTGACAGTTTGCTGTCATTTTGATTAAAGAAAATGTGTACTCAAAGCTGTATGTATCAAACACAAAACCAGATAAATATATAAAACTAAATTGACTCATTAGAAATTTCCATGAATTAAAGAAATTCCCCAGAACAATCTACTTGACTCCCATGTTTCAAACCAAAACAGATATACAAAAAAAGCATTACCAAATACTGTACTTCACAGCGTACTGTGTGATTTCAGTGTTGTCAGTACACACCTAAGCACT